GTGGAGGGGGTGAAGGGAGGGCTAGGAATGGGGAAAAAATAAGAACCAAGATGCATCATGTAAAGGTACTAGTTCCCAATGAGAAATGTAAATGTGTTGTATGCCTAAAATGTACCAATAAAAGAATTTAAGCAATAAAGAAAAATCATAAACATCAACCTGATGGCTATAGATGAGAATGACAATCTGTGTATTGTCACAAATGACAAAGGTGGAGTTAGAAATTAAAGTACCAAGCAGACAGAGATGCAGAAATTAGTACTGTTACGTCTGCAATTTTGCTTTATATTGGACAGTTAGAATTCAAGTAATATTATTATAAATAATAATTAAAAGACCTATTTCTTCTTTAAAAATCAAGAACAAATGCCCAGATACCCAGGACACTGTAAGCCTTGAGACAGCGCCCTCTCTTTCCCTGCTTGTTATCTACTCCAGTACTTGTAGCTGGGTCAGCCTTGGACTCAGCTCCAGTGAAACAGGACATGATATTCCTTCTTTACCAGCAGTTTGTGGGACCTCCACCAGGCACAGGAATGTGTGCTTGCCCAGAAGAATTCATAGTGATAGTGCAGAAAGGTGATGTTGACATAGAACTCGGCAAACTTTTCACCAGGCATTTTGTAAGTGTGGGTATGCTTTAAGATAATTTTAAATATTTTATTAAAATAATATATATACATTAAAAAATAATGTATATACATATATATAAAGAAAATTACACATAAATAGTGAATTTTCACAAAATGAACAATGCAGCAGTGTAATCAGCATGCAGAACAAAAACAAAACAAAACAAAATGCAGCTAGCATCTCACATGCATCCCTTGTACCCCATCCGCTTACTATCTACCACCCTGGGTGACCACTGTTCTGACTTCTCATGACATAGGTATGTTTTGCCTGATTTTTATACTCTACATAAGTTAAGTCAGGCGATACATGCCTGTTTACGTTTCTTGTTCAAAACTTTGTGAGATTTATGCATACTGTTAAATGATTTACTCATATTGTTATGTATTGTTACATGTTACCCATATTGTTACAGTTTCAACATAGAAAATTTCATTGTGTGAGTATGTTTCGTAGTTCATCAGTTAATGGGCATTTAAATTTGCATGGTTTTCAATTTGTGGCTATTACTGAAGAGTGCTACTATCAACATTCTATTAATATATTTTGATATAAGTATGCATGAATTTCCTAGGATATTTCAAGGCTTTTTTTTATCTACAGTCAGTGAAGTGTTCTTCAGCATTGCCAGTTTATTTATCAATATGCTGCTAGTATATTTACCATTGTATCTTATTCAAATGAGAGCTATAGTTACAAGAATTACCAAATCTTTCCTTCTTTTGTGTTCTCACTGGACTTTGTCTGTACTCAAGATTCTTAATTAAATATTCATATTTGTGTCTTTTATTAGATTATAGATATCTTTCAGTACTTTGTTCTACTTGCTTGCGTGTCCTAGCACCTGGCACAGTATCTGAAAGATGGTAGCTAGTTGGATGAAAGGTGATAGCCATTACCGTTACCAGTGATTAAGAAAGCAAATGGTCTTAGTTATGTGAATTATCCAGCTAGAGTAAAATCCATGCTTTAGCCTGACATCTCAATGCAGAGGGTTAGAAATGGGAAGTAATTTCTTTCTGCAAGAAGCCCAGAACTGTGACCTCAGAACTGAATGTGCTGAATGGCTAGCAGGAATTGACATGGCTTTACAGCCCTCTTAGAGATTTAAAGTGTTAACAGCAGTGATTCCAAGGCATAGTGTAGAACCCAGATATAAATAGCAGAACACAAGTGGAGTAATATGCCTCTCCCAAGCTACTTCTGGGAGTGTTTATAAAAAGAAAAGTATTCACTTCTCAGCTCTCACTGTCAACAACATCCCATCCTGAGGACACGGTCACCACAACTGAGAGTGAGGAATCAGTTTGAGATCTAGCATCACTTAAACTTCCATCAAAGGCACAAAAGGCAGGTAAACATTTTAACTTGTTTGAACTCAGACTACAGAAGTGAAGAACTTTTCAGGAAAGCTCTGGACCAGAGCTTTTTGGGCACATACTGCCTTTTGACAAGTATCTACTAAATGTTACATTCCAAACACTTTTTTGGAAAGGGAAGTTTAACACAGAAGTTACATTTTGATACTATATTTTAATAACTTTAAAGAAACTGCTTCTAAAGAAAGGAGCATAGGATCAAGATGTTCTATAAAAAGGAAGACTATCTCCCTTCCACTATGCTGTTCATTCCCATTTTCAGAATCCAGAATATGATGATAGGTAAGATAAAATAGAGATTTCATTTCAGTTCTAGTAATGTCAACTTTGTTGGTATGTAGGAGAAACCAGAAGCGGATCTATAATCCTTAATTGAATTGGTTAATGGCTCTGGGACAGCTTTAGTCTTTGTAGACCTCTTACTGTGTTGTTTACCCCTTTCAGCGTCTTAAGTACTGGGATGAATATTGGACGTTCAGTCGATGGAGTTACATAATCTTGTCAGAAATGCTGCTTACCCAGGTCTTTCTTATTCTCATTCCTATTTTCAGAAATTATGCAAGACATTTGTTTACCTTTAGGCTTCTCTTGGTTGTAAATATATGGGGAAAGGAAGCCATCTCTGATAATCTGCTTTGTATTATGAGCCTCGTAATTTCTTCTTTCCTGTCCAAATTGACACTTAGTTTGCAAAGAATGTAGAAAAATGTAAGATATATGTGTACATGTTGCTAGCAAATTCTTAGCAACTGAGAGCTGGGGGACTATTTGAGACTACGGTGTTTGGTTAGATTGTGTTATTTCCTGTGGATGGAGAGGAAAGATTGAGAAACAGGGAAAATATGTCTACTAGTGACTGTGGTGGAAGATACAACATGTCTACAGGGATATTGAAGTCGACAGAATTAATCTTGAGCAAATCTCTGAAGTTTTCTGAGTTTTATTTCATCTCTAGAATGAAGGTATTAGACCACTAATAAAAACCTGATGGCTTTTGTAGCCATTAGGAATTTATATCGATAATCACTTTCTGACCATCTCAGTATACACTCTCACCCAGAATGAATATATATAGTCATCCTGCTCTTATTTCCCTAAACTCCTCTTTTGAGTCTACTGAGTTGGAATTTTTTCATTTTAATTTAGAAAAGAAAAATGAAGACAGGACATTTTGAAATGGTCACCATGCTCCTGGCAGCCGTGATTCTAATGGACATCTTCCAGGTAATGTTGGGAATGGGAAACACGTGGTGATTAGAATAGAAATTCTTGATATAACATTGCTTGAGGCATATGTGTGGAAATAAGAGAAAGGATAATAAATGAATTTATTACTAATAGGTTTTTTTCATTTAACATATAGAAACTGTAGAAAGGTGCAAAGTTAAAGAGAGCTGTAAAATCTCATCTATAATCTCTTTACTCAGAGAGGAACATTCTTAAGATGTTGGTGTATTTAGCCTCGGCTTTTATGTCTGTGAGTGTATAATTTACTTTAAAAACCATAGATTCACACTGTATATAATATTTTTTACCTTGTTTTTTAATACTGTGCTACATATTGCTACATGTCAGTAATATTCTGAAAATATATGTTTTTATCCAATGAAGATAATATTTCATTGTTTGGTAACATGGTTTTTATTAAATTATATAGTGACTGTTTTCTCATATTTAGTTTTTTTCCTGGTAGAAATTTTATGATTTTATTTCCAGTTAAATCATTAAATATTCAGTAACACTTTTATGTGAAATATGAAACAGGTATCTCACATGATTTCTTTTCCTCAACATTGTTAGCTGTCACATTGCTGCTGAATATTTTTACACTCATTTTGAATGCCTTTGTTAAAATACCTTCAATAATAAAAGTTTGTCTTTTTTTCTTTTTAGTATTGGGAATTAAAGCAAGGTTGCACTAAACTACATCCTCAGCCCTTTTTAAAATTTAATTTTGAGTGATCTCACTAAGTTACCCAGGCTGGCGTCAAACTTTCCATCCTCCTGTCTTAGCCCCCTTAGTAGCTAGGATACAGGTATGCACAGCCATGCCTGGCTCCATTTTTCAAAATTTAATACTTTGATCCATTGTCTAGAGAATTGTTTGTATGTTGTTGCCTACATCTTCTGTTGTTTTAAAATGTTAAGTTATAATTCACATACCATAAAAACTCACCATCTTAAAGTGTATATTTCATTGGATTTTAGTATATTCACTATGTTGTGCAACTATCATAACATAATCTATATGTTATGTTATGTTTAATTACATACCATTTTTGTCACCCTAAAATGAAACCCTTTTCCTGTTGGTGGTCAGCTCTTATTCTGTTCTGGCAGCCATTAATCTACTTTTTGTCTCATGGATTTGCCTATTCTGGACATTTTATCTGAATGGAATCTTAAAATATATGGTCTTGGGCCAGGTATGTAACTCAGTGGTATCTCATTCTTTTACTGCTAAATAATATACTACTGTATGGCTGTCACACATTTTGTTCATTCATCGTTTGATGGACATTTGGGTTGACCCCACTTAATGCTGTTATTCATAGAGCTGCTGTGAATATTTGTGTACAAGTTTTTATATCAACATAATTCTCTTTTAGATTTTTTTATAATCATATAATCTTTATTCACATGCCCATGAACAATACAAGCAGTGCTTAGTAGCATTACATAGTATTTTATTCACATATGTAGGAAATGCACATATAAGTGAAAACTAATTTGTAGGAGTTATGCTTTATGCTAATAATAGAATTATTCATTATTATGAATATAAGTTTCAGTTCTCTTTGATATGTACCTAGAGTAGAATTGCTGGGTCATATGGTAACTTATGTTTAACTTGTTTAGGTACTGCCAAACTGTTTTCCACAGCAGCTGCACCATATTACAGTCCTCCTAGCTGTGTATTAGGGTTCCACTTTCTTTGCATCCTTATGTTAATTTTCTGCTTTTATTTTACCATTATAGCCATCCTAGTAGGTTAAATAATGTTTTACTATGATTTTAATTTGTATTTTCAATTTTCTTTTGCAACATAATTTTAATATATTTGTTTTACTAATTTTCTGTAATTTGTTTAATCAATTTTTCTTCTTAAGAAATCGAAAATTTAGGCCATTTTCACATATTTGAAGTAATTTTTTGGTAATTGAATTTCACCAGTGTAAGTTTTTATTTCTGTGGATAAATCAGAGGGATAAAATATAGTCAGCTTATTCACCTAGCCTTTTGTTTGTATCTGTTTCTTAGTATCCATTCAGTTGTCCCTGAATGGTGGTGATATTTGTGAGCTTTGTTACAGCTCAAGGCATGCACTGTACAGAGCACACAATCAGTTGTGGAGTGTCTGGCCAGAAATGCTTGATGTCTAAAATTAGACAAGAGGGGACTAGTTAAAGACTTTGGAAAAAGACAAGAACATACCAGATCAACTCTGATACGATGTGAGGAATGTGGGAGGTGGTTTCAGGGCTTGATGTCTTATGTTGAAGTCGTGAAGATAAGTCAAGCATTGGTACCCAAGCTGAACTCTGGTACATTCTGTGCTGCAGAGGAAAGTGCATTGCTTGACTATGAGACAGTAGTGATTTGATCTCCTGAAGCTCAAATTTGTATGTCAAGAAACTGACCTACAAACTCAGAAGTACAGAGTTCTTAGTGACTTCCCCAGAAGAATACCCTGTGGCTAATAATCAAGACAGTTTCTGATTCAGTCTAATTCCTTCATTTGTAAAATAGTATTAATAATTGTCTGCCTGGGCCAGAGATTTAGCTCAGTGGTTCCGTGGCCTGCCTCGCAAGCACAAGGTCCCAAGTTTGATCCCCAGTACCAAAAAATTTTTAATAATAATAATAATAATAACTGTCTGCCTAACATTTAGCATTTTTATAAATACAAAGTCATTCTTTTAAAAAGTGCTACACAAATATCAGTGGTCTCATCAGTGGAAGGATTCTCACTTTTTAGAAGTAATAGAACATTTTGGTTAGGAGAATGACTCTAAAACATGACTGCCTGTTTAAAATGCCACTGTCTCAATCGGTCTATATTTTAGTTTCTTTATTTAAAAAAAAAAGGTGGAGATAAATATGGGCATGCTGGCACATGCCTGTAATTCTAGCTGTCTAGGAGGCTGAGGCAAGAGGATCACAGGTTTGAGCCCTGCCTGGGAAACTTAGTGAGACCATTTCATAATAAATAACAAAAAGGGCTGGAGATATAACTTAGTCTGAAGGTCGGTTCAATCCTCAGTTCTGCCAAAAAAGGTTGGGGTGGGGTGGCTAATGATAGTACCGGCCTCACAAAGTTTCCATAATGATTAAATGAGGTACTTTATATGATGCACTTAGTGCCTGACATAGATAACTCTGGAGCTGTTTTTTCAGCTTTAAAGATGGAGTGGCCACACTAAGGCTTTGAAGGAGGTATCTAGGAAAACTTCAGTAAAGAACAGATACTCTTAAATAAGAACCAGGTGATTATTTGTAGTGGTTGTAGGCAGTAAGTTTATCAATTTGGTCTTAGATATTGTATCAGTCAGTGCTTACTATAAAAACAGATTTAATGCAAGATACACAAATATATAAGAATTTACAAGATTGGGTTAGAGTGGCCACCCACAGAGTCAGATGTGGAAGAGTGCAAAAGGTCTGTCTATGCTCTGGAAATCCGAAGTATCCAGTCGAAGGCCTGGAGCCCACTGTAGTGTCCCGTGCAAGTCTAATCAGGAGGCTGAAGGGTCTATGCTGGAGGCTGAAGAGTGCACTGGAAGGCTAAAGGGTCCGTAGGAAGCCAGGAGAGAACATCCACGGTGAGGGTGAAGACTGGAGCTCATCAGAAGAAATAGAAGCAAGGCTTCCTTCTTGGTTTCCCTTTTATAACATTCTGGAGACAGTTCTCCCTAGGGTGGGTTTTCCACACCCAGAACTATGCTGAGCCAATTTAGTTGGCCGTTAATTACTCAAGCTGACACAATCCATTAATTCTCACAGACATTTTACATTTGAAGGGTCTTTGGGCATTCAAATGGAGGTATCAAGTAGGCAGTTGATATAGGTCTGACATTTACAGTACAGGTCAGAGGTATTTACTTGATATTTGAAACTACGGGCTTGTGTGTCACTGCCTAGGGGTGGAGCTGAGAATTAGAAAATAAATTGCCTTGACAAATTCCAACATTAAGTAACCAGCAAGAATATGTTGGATAATGCAAAGGAGTTCTGAACAGAAATGGCCCCTTAGTGATAGCTGTATGGATAGAGGAATGGGGATAGAAACAGAATGGAGAAAGTTGAGAGATAAGTGGAAAATACAGTTGGCAAAGAGAGATATTTCTTTCAAGTAGTTTGTGAGGAAGGGATGAGATAGTGGGAAGAGAATGTGGAATCAAATTTTGCTTTGCTTCTTAAAAAGAATTTTTCTCTCCCTCTCTCTCCCTCTCTGTCCCCTCCCTCCGTCCTTCCCTCCTTGAATTCCTCTCCCCCTCCCCTCACAGTTTTTATGAAGGATTCACATGGAATTTATAACTTTAATAGTGCCTTAATAAATATCTCTATAAGATTTCCACTGAGGTCCCTAAGAAGATTTATGCAACCATGCAGCACACAAATATAGAATAATGGAAGAAGATTCATTACCCTTTTATTTGTAGAAATCCATAAACAGTATTCCCTAGATTTGCTCGTCCTACTTTTGATCCATAAGTCAAAGTGTAGGGTTCTTATTTAGTTCACCTGAATATTTTGTCGTGTTTTATGCTAGGTTATTGGAATTCAAAGATAAATATGAATCAGATTTTGCCCTTGAGAAATTCACAGTATAATACACAATTCCTCTAATAAAACACCTTGAAACCATAATGTTAAGTGAAGTAAGTCACACACATAAGCTTAAATATTGCATTTTTTATATGAGAAGCCCAGATTATAAATAAACAGCAGAATAAAAGATAGATAATAGGAAGTAAGGAGGTCATTCTCAAATTGGAAGGGGATCAAGAGATGGGGGAAGACAGGGAAAGGGGATGAAAAAAGGAATTAAGATACGTACATGTACCAACTCCACACAGGAATGTAAACATTATGCAATGCAAACATGTACTAAAAAATTAATAATCACTTTATTGAAGGTTTGATATGTACCATGTGTGGGTTAAGGGCTTTGTATATATTCATTATGTAATCCTCACAACAGTTCTGCAATTAAAATATTATTTTATCACCAGGTATGGTGGAACATGCCTGTAATGCCAACCAATTGAGAGGCTAAAGCAGGAGGACCATCAGTTCAAATTCAGCCTAGGCAACTTATTAAGACCTTGTCTCAAAAAGAAAAAGGGAAGAGGGAATGGGGATGTAGTTCAGTGTGAAGGCTTTGGGTTCAATCCCTAGTACTGGAAAAAAAAAAAAAAGAAGAAAATTATTTTCTCCACTTTATCTTCATTTTTAAATTGAGACTTGTGAAGTTCTTTAAATTCTTAACTGACTTCTTTATATTCAGAAATGTGAAGATGTCATACTTTCCATATGCAGTTAGTACCTGGTTGATAATGGAAATGGAATTTGAACCCAGTCTATCTGCCTTCAAATTAATGTTCTACTACTCTACTTCATATGGTATATGACCACATGTATCATTTAGATGATACATCAGACCGTTTCCATTGTATGTGACAGAAACACAGTTAAAACTAGTCCAAGAAAGCAGTTTTTTGTGTGTGTGTGTGTTTGTGTGTGTGTGTGTGTGTGTGTGTTTGTTTATTTTTTTCCGGTACCAAGGATTGAGGCCAGAGCCTCATGTATGCTAGGCAAGCATTCTACCACTGAGTTACAGCCCTAATCCAGGAATTTATTGATTTTTATGACTTGGGTAGACATAATTTTCAGGTACAGCTAGATTAAAGGCAGTTAAGTTTTCCGCCGCCTGCCTCGCAAGTGCAAGGTCCCGAGTTCAATCCCTGGATACCAAAAATATATATATTAATTTCCTTTTCCTTTATTTCAGGTGAAGGCTGAAATATTAGACATGGCAGATAATGTATTTGATGATGAGTACCTGAAATGTACTGACAGGATGGAAATGAAATATGTTCCCCAACTGCTCAAGGAAGAAAAAGCAAATCATCAACTCTTGGAGACTGTGTGGGAAAATGCAAAAGCCAAATGGGAATCCCAGAAGCCTCAGCTGTTTCTCCCTACAAAGTTTCAGGATAACCATGGAATAGCCCTGATGACATATATTTCTGAAGCTAAAGAGCAAACTCCTTTTTACCATCTTTTCAATGAAGCTGTGAAAATGGCTGGCCAGTCACGGAAAGATTATATCTATGGCTTCCAGTTCAAAGCTTTGCATTTTTACCTCACAAGAGCTCTGCAGTTGCTAAGAAGACCTTGTGAAGACAGTTACAAAAATGTGGTATATAAGACAAGCCAGGACACTTCATTTACATTTGGAGGGCAAAACCAAGCCAGACTTGGCAATTTCACATTGGCATATTCTGCCAAACCTGAAGTAGCTAATGACCAACACATTGTTTTAACTATCTACACATGTTTTGGAGTTGATGTTGAAAAATTTTTTGGTAAAGAAAGTGAAAGAATTACTTTAATACCCCTGAGTGAAGTTTTTCAAGTGTCACAGGAAAAGGCTGGCAATAACCTTATCCTTCACAGCACAAACAAGACTTGCAGCCATTATGAGTGTGCATTTGTAGGTGGTAAGTGTCTCTTTTCTGCTTATTCTTATCTGGGAGGAAAGGAATGGGATTCTTAGGCACAGGCAGAGGTCGGTTAAGGAAAATGAGAGGTGTTTGAAAGGAGAAAGGACTCTGGCAGTTTCCAGTCTAGCTCCTTTCAAACTATTTATAATTTTATCAAAATAATGAATTTACTGTGTCACTAAAAGTTAAAAAATAAAATAGTACTATAAGGCAGTAGTTCTCACTGAGAAGCATTTCTGTCCTCCAGTGATTCGTCAGTGGTCAGAAACATTTGTAGTTGTCACAACTGGGGATGAAGATGGCTTGCTATTGGCATCTCATGGGTAGAAGCCAGGGACATTGCTAACATATGCATAGGATGGCCTCCCATAACAGAATTATCTGGCCCAAAATGTCAGTAGAGCTACTGTTGAAAACCCTTACTATCAAGTTTACTGTGAAAAATAGCAGTCCCCTGCCTCACTGGCCCCAGTTTCTACTTCTCAGTGGCACCTGTTCTAATTATTTTAGCTCTTTTTTTCAGGTGTTTACTGTCATGTTTCTAAGTAACAAGATTCAACATGTTATTTCTTGATTTAAAAATTTGAGAACGAGTATTTAGCTCTTATATATCATGTGTTCCTTAAGAAATCTTTGTCACTTTTGGCTTTACAACAAACTTGACTGAGCCGGGGATCTAGCTTAGTGGTTCCACCGCCTGCCTCGCAGGCACAAGGTCCCGAGTTCGATCTCCGGTACCAAAAAAATAAAAATAAAAAAATAAAACAAACTTGACTGATAAATTTTCATTAAATAAGTCTAGAGGTAGGCTATCTTATGCAGTCATTCATCTATATCATCAATACTCAGACTCTTTCTTTTCTACCATCCTGAGAATATTGGTTTTTGGATTCATATTTGGGATGTATCTGGTACAATTTTAAGCATGAATTCATGTGCAAGATGGAAAGGATGGAAGAATGAAAGCTAAATTATTTAATGAAGAAAATAAAGGCTTTCCCAAAACCTTTAGTAGACTTATGATTCTAAATCATTTACTAGAACAGTTTCTTAGTCATCCATACCTACAAGAAAAGCTAAGAAAGAGGGTAATTAGCCTTTTTATTCAGTAGTATAGGGAGACAAAGGAGACGGGAACTAAAACTGACTGTTAGGTCAGTGATAATTACCACCCTCTTCTCCAGAATGTGGATTTCCCCATTCCCCATCTCCCAGTAAAGACCAGTCATAGCTGAATAAAAGAGTTGATTTTCTCTGCCAAAGTACCTATTTCTTCTTGGGGTTATTTTATGATTTTCACTTGTTTGTTTAAATTTTATCTCCATCAGTAATTCACTTCCAATTCCTTTGACAGAAATAGAAATTTCTTAATGCATTGAGATATATCAAATCATCCCTCATTTCCTCTTCTCTTTTTCTTCCCTGGATATATGCCTTCTGGATTCCCCCATCGTCCTGCCCTATAATATGCTCTTTAGGCTTGCAGAATGTTCTTAAGTCTCTTTTTACCACTCTGTGATGTTGCTTCTCCCCAGTTAAGAGATCTCCTATGATATGGTTAGGGTCTGGATGTCTCCCTCAAGCCTCATGTGGTCATAGGTGGCTGAATCTACAGTGTGTGAGGCTGGGATTAAGGGTGTGTGATTATTATTAAATCAGAACACTGATTGGTTTGGCACTGCCTTAATCCTGGTAGCCTGAATACAATATAAGGGACAGAAAGAGGCTTGCCTTCTTCCTTCTTGCTTTTACTATCTTCCACCACCATGAACTGTTGACCCTCTGCCATGTGCCACCCTGCCTTGGAGCCAGTCGATTATGGACTGAAACCTCTACAAACTGTGAGCCAAATAAACCTTTCCCCCTTAACTTTGGGTGTTGGATATTTTGTCTCAGCAATGAGAGAAAAGTAACTAAGACACCATATTCTTGGATTTGCATTTTTTCCTTGAATGACTCTTTTGTTTGACGGGATGAGTCTGGGAGTTCTATAGAAGTTTCCTGAGAAATAGAACATTGAGGCAAATTTTCTAAAGACTTTGAATGTCTTAACAGGACTGTCTTTAAACTCAAATTACAGTTTTTGTAGATTTGATTTCTATTTTAGAATTTATTTTTCTTTGGAATTATGAAGATGTCCCTCCAGTGATTTCTAGGCTCCAGAGTTACTGTTGAACAGTGTGAAGCCATTCTAATTATTAAACCTTTCAATGAGATCTATTGTTTTGTGGTATTGGAGGTTGAACCAGGGCCTCACACATGCTAGGCAGGCATTCTGCCAGTGAGCCTGAGACTTATTTTTTTTTTAATCTGGAAAGTTTAGGGTGTTTTCCTTATTATCAGCTATTCTGAAATTTTATGGTGTTGTGTCTTGATGTAGATAAGTAAAGAGTTAATAAAATCCTTTCTGCTATGAAAATGGCCTCCTGTTGATCTTCTAGTATTATTTCTCTGTCATCTCCTAAAGGTGGAATGACAGCTGTGTAGCCATCAACACTACCTATGGTAAACAAAACCCTAGATTGGTAAAGTGCATCTGAGCTGGGGGGATTATAAATGAACTACAAATATTTGAGGGGAAGGCATGGTTTGGGGATTTCCTGTATGTGATACAGCATACTCAGATGTTTTCCTTGTTGAATTCTGGAAGAACAAGACTCTTGTATCATCAGTCCTGCTCAAGATTGGTAGGTTCAAGAGATAACTGTAATCTCATGTGGCATGGAGCTACTGAACTAGGGAAGCTTTTGCACCCAATTGTGTACTTTTTTCTTCTGTCATTTTAGGACTGTCATTTTAGGGGTTAAAGAATTTTCCTGGACTGCTGTGAGGATTTCCATTGAAGGGAAGATCTAATGCTACCCTGCTACTAAACATTGTGCTGTGTTCCCTCCCTTGCTTTTTTTGGCTAAACTCAGTAAACTGGTAAGGAGTGGCCCTTTGCGGTTCTTGTAAATGAGACTAACTGAATCAAAAGCAGAGTGAATAATGAGGTAGGCCTCAAGTGGGGTAGACTTTTAGACCTTGACTCAGTATATCCAAGATAATGTGAGATAAAAAGGCTAAGTAATGAATGTGGATGAGAAATCAAGCCTCAGTGGGGGGCTGATACACTTAGGAATGGGTAGCAGAAGCTATGTGGCCATTAAGGTGTCTAGGGTACAAAATTTAAGGAAATCCCCACTTTTGGGGCATACCTTTGCATGATTCATAAAGTGACTACTCCTTTAAATTTTGTACTCTAGGCACTTGTTTTGCCTAGTCCTGCATTTGAGTTACGTCTGAGTGAGACTATTTTTGAAGGGCAGATAAAGCATAGAAAAAAGTAAATATATATTAAAAGGAAATGTGTTCATTCCCTTCACCAGTTATACATTGGACCTGACCAAAAACCAAGCCAGCTAGAGCCAGCTTATATCAGCTCATGGGAATTAATTTTAGGTAACAATCTTATTCCCAGGTCCTCCAACATTACAGTAGCTTAAAATTTGCCATGGTTCATTTACATGTATTACAACCCCCTTATTTTCTAGGGATATGTTCCAAGATCCCCAGTAGATGCCTGAAACAGTGGATAGTACCAAACCCTATATCTACTGTGTATTTTCCTATGCATACATACTTACGATAAAGTTTAATTTATAAATTAGTCACAATAAGAGATTAACAGCAATAACTAAAAGTTGTAGAAGTTATGTGAATGATGACTGTCTTGAAAGAATGAAGACAAATACTAATATTTTTAGAGTTTACCAATGGTAACTGAAACCACAGAAAGTGAAACTGTGTAGAAGGAGGGATTACTATGGAAATCAGCAGACACCGTAATGTTAAACTTTACCCGTACATCTCAGCCACAATCCAGTTGCTGTTCAGTGACAGAAATCACACCACTGTTATTGCTCCTGATGCATTCAACCAAATGTCATTTGTGGAGTCCTTGGGTATGTGAAATCCCTGGCTCCAAGGCAGAGTTAGCACTTGTGTCTAGTTGATGGGCTGAGACAGGCAGTACCACCCACAGACTCCATGTTTGGGAGTGGAATTGTAATACAATTATGGGTGGAACTATTGGATTAATTGTAAATTAGCCAGGGCTCAGACCCACATGAAGAAATGCATTATGAGCCGCATATGATGAAATGGGGAGGGGAATAGGGATTAAGCAGAGGCTACACAGTAGTTTAATATTCAAGTCAGCCACTGCACTGGAATGTTGATTGAACCCTAGACTGAAGTCCTCTGCTGCCATCTATAGATAACTAATGGGAACCCAGGGTCAAAAACTACCTAAAGGTCAAGCCAAGCTGTTTGAAACATTTATGATGAGGGATTTTTAAAGCTCAAACTCAAACCGGGCGTGGTGATGTATGCCTATAATCTCAGCACTCAGAAAGCTGAGGCAGGAGGATTGCTGTGAGGTCAAGGCCAGCCTGTTTCACAGTGAGTTCAGCACCAGCCTGCACTACAACAAACAGCTGAAAGAAAACGAGCCTCTGGGATTATCCAAATTTAATTCTTAAAAATCCACCCCCAGCCCTTGAGAGCTTATTAAATATATGCTTCACCATTGGTACAGATTTGCATCTATTAGCATTTCCTAGAAGTAGCAAGTTTCTGTGCTGTTGTCTTGGATTGTCTGAGATTAGAGAATCTATCAGTGTAGCTAGGACAGATAGGAAGTGACATATTTTAACCCACCATTGTGAGTCAATGCGTAGAACAATTAGGAAGGTTATTTGTCTATATGAGTTCATAAAAAATGGTAGAACTATTCACTAATAGTCCTCTTTGGACTCTTACCTGCCAGATTTGTTCATCACTGTTCTATCAGCCAAAGTTCAACCCAGGATATATAATCAGCAGGAAATATGTATTTGAATATTTATTGGAAGGAATTGGCTTACACTGTTACAGGAACTGGCAAGGTAATTCAGAAATCCATAAAGCAGTCTGTGAGGAAAGGCAGGGCTGAGACTCTAGCACATTAGCTGAAG